GGGTACAACTCTAATACCATTTTGTCACGACCCGACAATTCCAATAAAATCCTCAATTTATACAGATTCAAATACATCAAAATACACCCAGGATCACAAAAGAATACCCTCTTTTACAAAAATTAATTCCCTCAAATATACAAAAATTCTCCAAATAAATAAAATAAATCCTGCAACGCCAACTCTTCATCCTAAACCCGTCTCTACGATCCCCGTCCATCTTCAGTACCTAAAACTGGAGGGTGGTGAGACAAAAGTCCCAGTAGGAAAAACCATAACAAGAATTTCACGGAGGTTTAACAAAACAGCTTCACAAAATAAACATATACAGGTGAGTATAAACAAAATAAATATATATTTTTAATCAAAACATTTCATAAAACATTTAATCAAAACCTCCCCACACCATTCAAGGTATAGAGAACCCTACACTAAAAATCATCAAGCCTCAAGCTCCGGCCTCCTCTGCAACTCTCGGCTCCTCTGTCTGCCGTCCATTCTCTCACTCTGTTTCTCTCTCTCTCTCTCTCATTTTTTTCTCAAACTCTCTCTGCTCTCTTTCTTTATTTCTCTCATGTTCTTTGTTTGATTCACAATGCAGACACCACACTCCATAAATAGGCAAATTCACAGACACACCCACGTGAACCCCCACTATTTTCCTTGTTCACACTGTCTACCACCCATGTGAACAAAACCAACGCCCAAGCAATTTTTGACCAAAAAATCAACCCGTGGGACCCACACTACATCATTACAATTTTTCTTCCTCTCCACGTTTTGCCTTGCTGCCCACTTTCCTTCGTCAGATGTAATAAATATATACATATATAATATATATACACACACATGTGACAAAAATCAAAATCCATTACATTAATTCCTGTGGGCCCCACAAAAGCCATCATCAACATCACATTTCCATTCTCATTTCTCTCTTCGGCCAACTGCCTCCCACCTTCATCATTAAATAAGATACTATATATATATATATATATATATATATATATATATATAAACTATAAAAAAAATAACTATTACTACACTCCACTGAACTGAACTAAAAATATTAAAATTATAAATAATAATAAAATCATAAATTAAAAAAAATCAGAGTTATCATAGGTGTCCCCTGCACACGCTCACACACACCCGCCCACAAGGTCGCCACAATCACCCCCCCTTTGGGGCCCAACGTCCTCGTTGGCCACACTTCCGGCTGGGTTAGGCTCTGATACCATTTGTAACGACCCTCACCCTGGTCAGACACAATACTATCCGCTTTTAGCTCACCCATACCAGAGACTTCCCAGGAGGTCACCCATTCTGGTACTACTCCAAGTTAAGCACGCTTAACTAAAGAGTTCTAATGGGTTCACGGCCATCACGGCTTTAAAACGCATTGTGTCATAGAAGGGTGTTGAATCTACATATAGCACTTGCCCCATCCACACCCAGACGATGTGGGATTGTGCACCTGTAGCTCGCCTAGTGTGGTAGCCTACTGGTGCCCCCTGCACACGCTCACACATACCAACCCACAAGGTCGCAACAAGAAGGTGTTGAGGAACAAGACGATACAAATGGTGAAAGTTCTTTGGATACACCACAGAGTCGAAGAGGCTACTTAGAAGCTTGAACATGAGGTTCATTCCAAGTACCCAACGTTGTTTTCTTTCTCAGGTATGTCTTGATTTCGGGGACGAAATCTTTTAAAGTTGGGGAGAATGTAATGTTTGTGTTATATATATATATATATATATATATATATATATATATATATATATATATATATATATATATATGTAATTGTGTGTGTGTGTGGAGTGAATTTAAAAGCAAAAGAAAAAGAGAAAAGAAAATAAAAGAATAGGTGGGACCCACCACCATCACCTTAAGCCCTTAAGACCACATTTGGTCTGTAGCTCTCTTCTCCCGCTGCTCTTTCTCTCATGCCCTTTCTGTTTTTTTTTTCTTTTCTTTTTCAATCAAATTTTAGAACTTAGTTTCTCCCTCATTTCTTGGTGGATTAAGGTGCCGTTTGAGGCAAAACGAAGCCTACTACGAGCTCTACGCATCCATACGAACAATTTCAGATTTGGTGCCCTCCTTGGAGTTCGAAATTCAAAACCCATTTTAAGGGTTTTGTGCAAAAGTGAGGTAGGGGTTCTTAATTCCCGTTTTTCTTGCTCCTATGTGAATTACTCCTCCTAATTTGTCGTAAAGCATGCTTGATTATGAATTAATTGTCTTGTGAATGATGTAGATGTTATATGAGAAGTTGTGATTAAATAGGCTATGTGAGTTGTAGGTGAACGTGTTTATTTGGTTAATTTCTTGTCTCATTGATGATATAACATGCCTATATTGTTACAAAATTTGTTAGAAATGATATGTGATGGCATGTGTAATTTTTTCCTCAATATTTGTGGAGTATGTTCAAATGTGAAATATAAAATCCCTTAATTCTATGACATTGTGAAAGCAAGACATACATGCATACCATGGGTCATGATTGGGAAGATTGTTTGGAAATGAAAAAGGGGAATTTTGAGAAAGTGTTTGATGAAAAGTGTTTTATGAAAATCCGGTCGCCAAGAGGGTATCAAAGGGCCGAAGTGTTAATATAGCCTAGAGGGAACTAGGGAGTCGCCCTAGCGTGGTTGAGCTAGTTGGGCCCCATAATGACACCGCGGGGGTACCAAGGGTCAGGGACATTAGCTAATCCTTCTCTCGTGTCGCTGCGGAGTCACCAAAGGGCGGATTATATTAACAGTTTGAAAGTGATGATTTTTGAGATGTGAAAATGGGGAGCGACATCGACATGCATTGCATTCCCATTACATTATATTGTTTATATTTGAGTTGATTGTTATGTGATATGATCTCGGCATAGTATGACCCCCATTCTCATTGCTCTATTCTTTGGTTGAATTCACTGGGATACAAGAGGCGTGTCTTAAGTACTACCTACTGAGCTTTATGCTCACCCTATTATTTAATAATTTTTTTTCAGGAAACGGGAAAGAAGTGGCGGATGACTTTCCACTACAGGCCTAATTTGGATTAAAAGACTTTTTTTGCTATTTTTGTATTAAGTCCAATATTTTTGTAAAATCTTAATTTGTTATATTTGGTATAGAGATTTGTGAACTCTTATTATTGTAATTATATTTATGTACATTTGATATTAATCTTATATTTTGGGGCTGTAACTATGTTATCTGGATGATATAGTATGTGGTTGTACCACTATGGATTGAACTAAGTTAAGGCATGATGAATGGATGAAAGGGATGTCGGAATGTATTATATGATATTTGTGTTGGGACAGGTTTAAAATTCTTTTAAACAGGTTGTTGTAGGGCGATTTTTAGCGAAGGTCATGCCGAATTTTTTTTAAAATTTTGGCATCAGTTAGGGTTGTTACAAACCCAAATTTAAACATTGTCTTTTTATCAGTATAATAAAAGTAAATGGAAATTATAAAATTGTCGATACCTGACAGTCAGGTGTCTCACATAGCTAGGGGCGGAGGGAAGGGGGGCTGGCGAGGGTCATGGCCCCCTCTAATTTTTTGGAATTTTTTTTAGTATAGGTAAAATTAAAATAGTTTAGCATATATGGTATAAAATCTATACTTGGCCCCCCTAAGAAAAAAAAAATTTCTTTCTTTAATTAACATTTAACAAAAGATAGCTTATATATAATCTAAAACAAAGTGATTTAATTGACTGACTATAGAACCCCAATAAAAATTTAATGTGGCTATCTTAAAATTTCAACTCAAACGCCGTTTTTTCCATAATGTGGCCGATTGTTTCCATAACTTTATTATCCTAAAATTCTATCTCAGACATGATTCTTTCCATCACTTATTTTTATTTATTTATTTATTTTTATTGGAATGCTTTTATAAGAATTTTATAAGAAATTAATTTTTACAAAATCTAAAACAAAAATTTCATTTGAAGTTTTGAATATCAACAAAAATCGATGATTTAAGAATCTAAATTCTTATTTTATTAATTTGTTTGTGTTTTTTTTATATCATTTTTATTGTTTTGTTAAATTTTCAAAATTTTACTTTTTTAATTTTTTTTTCTTTTCTTTTCGGTAAATATAGAGAGATATTTAATTGAATTTTTTTTATATAATTTTGGCATAAATCTTATTTGTGTTTGTTCAGAAAGTTTGATAAAAAATTTCTTTAAATAACTAATTTTTTTTTTTTTTTTTTTTTAAGTTTAGACAGATATATTTTTGTATGAATATTATAAATAGTAAAATATTTTTGCCTATGTAATATATATTTTTTTTCAAACGTTCTAGGTAGGTAATGTTGTTAATAATTTTGGCCCCCCCAACCTTAAGATCCTGGCTCCCCCCTGCACATAGCAGTGCTCTATGTAAAATCAAACAATTCACTAGCATTGCCAAACATATATTTCTGTGACCTATGGTCCATCCATGACGGATTCTTTCACGCACTAGGCGCAAGACTTTGTCCAGATGTATTATTAAATTTTTCTTTGGCCAATCGATATATTTATATGATGTTTTTTATGATTTAATTAGCTGACTAAGTGCCCAATTGACATTTAAAATTAGTTTAAATAAAAAAAACTCCTTTATCTTGGAACACCTATCAGCTCTTTCCTTTCTCACACATTGCTTGTGTAATTCAGAACCATAGGTCTCTTTCTGTAAACTTTTCCATGGCAACATCCACACAAGGCAGAAATCAAGCTTCTTCCTCCTCTACACCAATTAAAAAATGGACATATGACGTGTTCGTAAGCTACAGAGAAGAAGACACCGGCAAGAACTTCACCGATCACCTCTACTCTAGACTAAACGGTGCTGGAATATCTACATTCAGGGATAAAAATGAATTGAAAAGAGGCGAGAAAATTTCATCCGAGCTTTTTGAAGCAATTCATGGATCCAATATTTGCATAATTGTTTTCTCCAGAAACTATGCGGCTTCCAAATGGTGTATGGATGAACTTGTGGAGATAATGAAATGTAGGAAGCAACTTTGTCAATGGGTACTACCCATATTTTACAAAGTCAATCCATCAGACGTCCGGAAACAAAGTGGGAGCTTTGGGGAAGCATTTGTGAAATATGAGGATCAAAAGGTGGACAAAAACCAGATGTCCAGTTGGAGGGCAGCTTTGGCCGAGGCAGGGGAACTATCAGGGTGGGATTTAGATGACACTGATGGGTAAGGTTAATTAATGTGCCAAATTAATTAATCAACTGCTATATTATTTATATCTGCAAATGCTTATTTTGATTTTATTGGCAACATCTTTGGTATATGCTTACATAAATTCAATTGCAGTGCCTCTCTGTGAAACTAAACATGGTACATTACCGCTCCATAGCTGATATAATAGCCAGTGGACATTTTAGTCCACTTAGCATTCTATATTATTATTTGTCAGATGTCTCAAACTTCCTGAAAACTGAGTCGAGTTTGTTAAGTTTTTTATTCTTAGTTTAGTTTTTTCAAAAAAATTTATTGATCTTGTCTGATACAATACCATTATCCTTGAAATGTCATAAACAGGTATGAAGGAGAATTCATCAAGAAAATTGTTGAAGAACTTGTGAGTGTATTGAACCACACATACTTACATGTAGCCACCCACCTAGTTGGAATTGATACTCGTACAGAATACATGAATTCTCTGTTGAGTGTTGAAAATAGTGATGTCCGCATGGTGTCGATATGTGGGATGGGTGGAATAGGTAAGACGACAATTGCCAAAGCTGTTTTTAACTATTTCTTCCATAGTTTTGAATGCAAAAGTTTTCTGGCAAATGTTAGAGAGAATTCAAAGCACCATAAAACACAAATTTGTTTGCAAAAGCAACTTCTTTTTGATATACTAAAGACAGAAGTCAGAGAGGTGGGCAGTGTTGATCGAGGAATCGAGGTGATAAAAAATAGGCTATGCAATAAAAAAGTTCTTCTTGTTCTTGATGATGTGGATCAACTGGACCAACTAATTGCGTTTAGTTGCGAGTCAGACAGCGCCAGAAGAGATTGCTTCGGTCTAGGAAGTAGAATCATCATAACAACAAGGAACGAGCATTTGCTAGAACGTATTGAAGTAAATGACAATTATATGATTGATGAATTGAATGGCAATGAATCTCTTGAGCTCTTTAGTTGGCACGCTTTTGAGAGATGTAATCCTGCAGAAGGTTATGCTCAGCTCTCAAAAGATGTAGTAAGTTACTCCAAAGGATTGCCCTTAGCCCTTGAAGTTTTGGGTTCTTTTCTAAGAGAGTTCAAAAGCATAGCTGAATGGGAAAACGCATTGGAGAAGTTGAAAAAAATTCCTCATTGTAAAATTCAAGAGCAGCTTAGAATAAGCTTCGATGCATTGGATAATTATCAAAAAAAGATATTCCTTGATATTGCATGTTTCTTTACTGGAAGGGATAAAGACTACGTAACAAAAATACTCGATGGCTGTGGTTTTTTTGCAACGAGCAGTATTAGTATCCTCAATCGTAGGTGCCTTATAACAATAAACGAAGCTAACAAGTTAATCATGCATGATTTGCTTAGAGACATGGGAAGGGAAATTGTTTGCCAAGAATCTGTTGACGACCCTGGACAACGTAGCAGATTGTGGCATTGTGAGGATGTCCTTGATGTACTAACAAATTGCACGGTAAGAGTTCAAAGAACAAATATGTTTTCAAGAATGCATGTTGAAGTGAAGAAACCAATGCAATTTGACTTATATAAACATTAATGCTTATGCTTATTTTATCAATTAACTTTCACTTGCACAGACATAAATATCTTATGCTTCACATTTTTTACCAAGTGCTCTGTTTTATTAGGGAACACACCAAATTGAAGGCCTTGCTTTAAATATGGAAGGACCAAAAAGAGTAGGTTTCAGAGCTGAAGCATTTGCGAGGATGCACAATGTAAGATTGCTACAACTCAATTACGTAAGCATTACAAGAGGCTATGAACATCTTTCTAAAAAATTGAGATGGCTTTGTTGGCATGGATTCCCTCTAAAGTTTATACCAAAGAACTTTTATCAAGAGAAATTAGTTGCTATTGACATGCAATATAGCAACCTGAGACAAGTCTGGAAGTATAACAAGGTATATTTAACACTTTGAATTAACTAGTTATTGTTGAATTTTTCCTTTTTTAGTTTGAATTGTATATGTCACTTTGAACTAATTCTGTGATCCATATCTTTCTTTCAACAGGTTCTCAAAAATTTGAAAATCCTTGATCTAAGTCATTCCCATTTGCTGACTAGAATCACTACTGACTTCCTAACACTCCCAAGCCTTGAGAAATTGATACTTGAAGATTGTAGAGGTTTGAAAACGATTGATGAATCCATTGGAAGTCTTGACAAACTCGTATTACTGAACCTAAAAGACTGCTCAAATCTTAGGAATCTCCCAAGAGGCATTTGTATGTTGAGAGCTCTTGAAATTCTAGTGCTCTCTGGCTGCTTGAAATTTGACAAATTTCCAGAGGAGATGGGTGAGATCAAATCATTAACTGTTCTTCTTGCTGACAAGACTGCGCTAAGAGAAATACCAGTTTCCATAGTGCATTTAAAGAACCTTCAGTATTTATCTCTATGTGGCTGTAAAGGATCACCATCCAAGTCACTCCTTTCACTCTTTTCATCACTGGTGTCACCGAAAAAATTTCCTGATTCCACGAGTTTGTTGCCAAATTCATTGTTTGGGTTAACCTCTCTGACGAAATTGTCCCTCCAAGACTGCTATCTATCTGATGGTGCGATTCCAAAAGACATTGGGAGCCTCTCCTCTTTAAAATTATTGAATTTAGCGGGCAATAATTTTTCAAGTCTACCAGCAAGCATCAGCACCCTTTCTAAGGTTGAAGTCCTCCTCTTGAACCAGTGTACAGAGCTCCAATCACTTCCAGAGCTTCCAACCAGTTTGACCTTCTTTTCTGCACTAAATTCTTCACTGCAAAGATTGCCGGATCTATCAAACTTTTCACACGCACCAAATATACTTCTTTTCAATTGCAGCAAACTAGCCGAGTTTCCTTTCACAGAAAATCTCCTACAGGTTTCTCTCTCTCTCTCTCTCTCTCTATATATATATATATGTCTGTGTGTGTCTCTGGAAAGAGTTCCAGTACAAGTATTTTCTAGCGCATAGGCAAAATCACCCATTTTTTCGAGGATGCAACACCCATTATGTTCAAGGTGTGATACCATTATTTTAAACTGACAATGCCCACCCTCATAACTTGCATTATTAAAATAAAAGTGTTGCTTATGCACGTCTAAGTACCACACAGAAATTTATCTGTATGTTAGCTCACACATCCTCTTTCTCATTATTACAGAGATGGTATGGAGGATATGGGGGTAATAACTTCGATGAGATTTTATTCCCTTGGTCTGAAATTCCAGACTGGTTTGGCCATCAGAGCACAAGTCACGCGCTGTCATTTTTGGTTCCTCCAAATATGCGTAAGATGAAGGGCTTGGTTTTATGTGTCATATACGCAGCGCACGACTTCAAAATTACAGAAACGACTGGTGCAAGATCGAAATCTATTGTTTTTGTCAACAATGTAACTAAGTGCTTTGCTAAAACCTGTATTCGTGTTCCAATTTATCCTTTAATAGCCACCCCGCATGATCACTTATCATTGGGCTATGTGCCCCTCAAAAAATTCGAGGTGAATGGCGGAGATGAGGTGAGTGTTGCAATAGATCCAGGTTGCGATGCTATTGTGAAGAAGTATGGGGTCATACCGGTGTATATTGAAGCTCAGAAGCATGCGATAATGGACATTAGCGAAGAAGTGAACCAATTTAAATCTTCATCTGATAATAATAATGCTATTGTTGTCTTTGATGAAGGATACAACCAAGCCGGGAACAAAGGTAAAAGAAAGCGCGATGATAATGATGATGAGATAGTACCCAGCCTTGCAATCGATAAGGGTAAAAGAAAATGTTATGCTGATGCTGATGATGATGAGATAGGATACCGCAGCCATTATTGGTCTTATGAGGAGCACAATCTTTCCCTCTATGATATGATGGTTTTTCCTCATCAGGAATATTATAGGAGATTTATGTGGACAAGTGATCTTCTAGGAGGAGGAGGTCATGACGACGACGACGACGAAGATTTCTTGGATGAAGATGAAGAAGAAGATAGTGATTCGTCTGAACCAGATGATGAATATGATTGAGCTTCTTGTTTTTGTGTAAGATAACTTTGGGTGTTTACGATTTGCAATGTTTTTAATTTGTTTATGAATAAGACTAATATTAGACATCATGAAATTCTTTTAGAGATACCCCAAAATTTTTATTATTAGTCCATGGCTTCTAACCAGACCCCCATAAATTTGTTGGACCATAAGGATTCATACTGAACTAAGATTCAACCAATTTTAACATAATATTGCTCTTCATTTACACCTAGGTATTTTTCAGGACCAAACTGGATAAAACTATTGATTCAAAACACCTTCCATCCAAGCCAATGACATTGGCATGCTAGCACGCCTGAATAGCCACAAAATTGTGTGAACAAGTTCTTCTCACAGACAATAAGTTATTTTATAAGAAATAACATAATTCAACACAATCCGTTTTACATCAACGTACATTTTCTAGAGATGAGAGAATTATTAAGTTAGAAAATTTATGTGGCGACCTTGTGGGCGTGGTGTGTGTGAGCATGTGCAGGTGGCACCAGTATGCTACCACACTGGGCGAGTTACAGGTGCACAATCCTATATCGCCCGGGTGTAAAAAGGGCAAGTGTTATATGTAAATTCAATATCTTTTTTATGACACAACGCGTTTTAAAGCCGTGATAACCAAGAATCCACATTAACTCCAGAGTTAAGCATACTTAACCTGAAGTAGTACCAGGATGGGTGACTCCCTGGGAAGTCTCTGGTCAGGGGGAGCCAAAAGTGGATAATATTGTGTCTAATTAAGGTGAGGGTAGTTACAATTTACCAGACACGTTGTGGTACCAATTCCAACTTAGTGTCATAGAATCTTGTCCCACATTGGATCAGGATGCGGAGAGTCTTAGGCATATAAGGTTGGGTATTAGTGCCACCTATTAGGTTAAATTTTTGGGTTGGATCGTAAAGCACCCGGCCATTGACAAGTAGAATCAGAGCGAGCCCAATCCTTGATCCAGTTGTTAAGGTGGATGGGTAGGTATGGTGGACTAACTGCAACACCCTAAACATATAAGGTTGAGCATTAGTACCACCGTGAAGCGCCCGACTACTAACATCAATGTACCTAAATGATCAATCACCAGGCCTTATTGACCACGATCCGACCATCTCCATTTTTTTTTTAAGGTCGATTACCCAAATGTGAATTGAAAATAATCCGACAAAAGGTTGTGGATCAAAACCAATATAAATATATATTTATTTAAAAATTTTGGGTCATCTCACTCAACGACTAACATCAGTGTACCTAGCATTTGATCAATCACCAGGCCTTCTTGTATAAGATCCGACCATCTCCATTTTTTTTTTTTTCAATGTCAATTACCCAACTCTAAATTGAAAATAATCCGACAAAGGGTTGTGGATCAAAACCAAAATAAATAAATAAATATATATATATATATATGTATATATTAAATGATTTCAACTTTCTAAACTAACTAAATTACATTTATTGGATAAGTTCCACGTGTGGGTCTAACTAATTCAATAGTTGTGGTTTAATAGGTTTAGTAAGACAGCTTGTATAGCATATCTCTATACATACATATATATATATATATATATATATATATATATATATATATATATATTAAAAAAAAAAAAACTTAGATGCCCCATTCTTGTCACAAAAAATCATGATATTTATTCACAATAATTGACAGGACATTTCACATTAGTACAATTGAGCCAAAAAATTGTATGTTAAAAGTAATCAGATAATCCTAACCGCTATGATTAGCATTTACTTTTCCTTAGCTATTTTATAAAATTAAAAAAAAAAATTAATCAAACTTCAATAGTTGAAATTTATCCATCCAATCAATTTGATTTTATATAATTTGACCATATGAATATGATACGTCACCTAATACGTTAGAATCTTTCTTATTACTATGACAAGAATGATATGATCTTTTTCAATTAATGATGCCATAACATTAAGAATGAATAACTAATAAAGGAAAATTCAAGGAAGGAGACACCATGGGGAGGTGATATTCAAACTGACAAATGCTCTAATTTTCTTATCTCTAATATACTTGATTCTCTTATCAACAATAAGTTAGTAACATGGATACAATTTTATTTCAAAAGTGGAGCAAGTTTCTTAAAAATAAGATAGACTATGAATATCGCAGCTCGCAAAATTTTAGTCTTTATTACCAATCATCATTCTTTCACAACTGATAATATTTTTAAAAACCATATGTATGTCTTTGTTGAGTCCGGGAAAAATTAATAAGCGCATCAAACATATTTTTTTTTTTAATTCAAAGGAGCAGTGATAGAGCAATCGACCAACACAAGTCTAACTCCAAGCAATAAATTAACTATCTCAACACCATCGATGCATTAAAGTGAGACCCACATGAATTGCACTTTAATGCATATGATGGAAGTGAGACAACCGTTCCCTTGAGGATGACTTTTTGGTCTCTGTAAAAATAATTCTATATTCGAACTAACTCCTAAACTAAAATTTGTCCACAAAATTGGAGGGCATATTTGGTCGAGGCAGGGGAATTATAAGGGTGGGATTTAGATGACACTGAACCGGTAATGTTAACTAATTTGTGCCAAATTATTTAAGTACTAGCTAATAGATTCCATTTCTAAGTGCAAGTGCTTAGTTTGATTTTATTAGCATCCTCTTTTATATATTACATACTAGTAAGGCCTATTTAACCCAACGGACAAGAGGTTGATTAGAGTTTTTTGGTCACAATAAAAAGTTCTTGAGTATACTCAATACAGGTGACTTTCCATGGATTCTTTATTGTTAAAAGAAATTTTAAAAAAGAAAAATAAATAAATAAATAAATAACAAATAAGGACGTGAATTAACACAATTGAACCAATTCAAGTCACAACCCAGTGCAACTAACATTCACACAACATATAGTATTGAATTATTCATAGGTGAGAGGGACGTGAATTAACACAATTGATAAACATATATAAGTTAATTATTTTTTGAATAATGAGATCTCTCAAATTTGATAAAATTGACAAAACACTCCCTATACCCTGACACATAAAGAAAATGACTAATTTACCCTTTGACTTGTCAATTAAATTATTTCAATTTTAAAATTACAGTGTTAAACTTCTAACTAATTTTAATTAACCAAACTTACCATTCATCAGTCATCAGTACAACCGTGTACATACACCGAATACATATATGTGTGTGTATATATATATATCATCTCCTCATATATATATATATATATGTAGAGAGAGAATGGGAGAAGAAGAGGGTGGTTGCCACCTCCACTGGCGGCACACTACCATAGCCACCATCACCATACCGCCACCTCCACCAACGCCTCTCTCTCTACCCTCTCATCTTCACAGCACCGCCACACCTACACCCACCACCATCACATCACAGCCCAACCACCTCACAGCCCCGCCACACTCGCCACCACCACATCGATCACGTCTCCGCCACCAGGGCTTTAACCGATGTCTCTTTTTGAAAAACTTTAGTCGAATATAGATGTAAAACCTAAGAAATTGAGGAAGAAGCTTACCAAACACCAACCATATTTGGATTTCAGAAAGGTGTCGCTCGCTGTCACAAACTTTGTCCAACTGAAAAGCCAAATCAACGCGAGAGAATCAAGCAAAGAAGCCAGACTGGGATCAGGTCTCCCCATGCGACGACAACAGATCAGAAAGCGAAGAATAGGAATTTTTGGATCATATATTTCTCCAAACAGTCGATCAAGGAGCCCAATGAACTCAGAGCATTAAGAGCCTCAATTAAGCGGATGCTAAGCTTTCCACCTGTGGACCTTGCCATGCCGATCCGATTGAAGAAGATTCCCCTCGCAATTGTGTACCAATTTGGGAGGATTGGTGAAGAGCTTGACGAATATGGAATTTTTTGGGTTTTTTTTGTGGGAGCCAGAGGGTAGAGAGAGAAACCTATTATTTTATTCTGGAAAAAAAAACTATTATTTCAGAAGGGTAATTATGTTATATAATTTTTCTTTGATATTTTAGATTAATAATTATATTTTATTGAAGGGTAATTTTGTTTTTTCACAACTTTCAAGAACTTGTTTGGTTTAAATTTCTGACAGGGGGTGTGAGTGTTAAAAAAATGGCCACCTTATATATGTTTGTCATTACGACAGACTTTAGGAGATGTCGTTGTAATTAATCTAAAATAAAAAATAAAAACAAAAGTGAATTAGTTGATGCATTCTAACAAAGGTAAAATTGTAATTAATTGTACCACACTAACGGATTGTCCCTATTTTTGCCAACTTTTAGTAATAATTTTGGGTAGCATTTCTTTGCTTCTCTCAAACCATCTATTTCTTTCCTTTTCTCAAACCTATTTTTTAATAACTATACGAATTTGGAAATATATATATACATATATACACACACACACACACGAATGCTGTAATGTAAATGAGGGGAGATAAACAGAGAGACAGCAATGCAATGTACCTCTGATTCTCTGAATCATCTTTGAGGAGATTTAGTGCGAAATCACCTGATGCCTCCGTCTGCGCCGCTGCATCGCATCCTCTCATCGATCTCTCTGTATATCTCTTAATCTCTCTCCATATATATGTATACCCTCTTTCTCTCGCTTTTTCTATGGAAGCCAGCGATCAGAATCTTGAAGCTGGAACGACTGAGAGAGAGAGAGGGGCCAGCCAAACACAGAAAGGCAATTTTGATCTTCAATTAGAAATTATTTGGTGGCATTAACGAATAACGACTTGAAACCTAATAGTATGGTAACTTTTTCTTTTCTGTATCACAAGTTCACAACTGTTTAATTATTTAATTCTTTGCACTTTAGTCCACTTACTATTCTAAATTCCTTTTTGGTCGGTTGCTGTGCCAGCACTTAATTTTCTGAAAATATGTTGATTTGTGTTGAATGAATACTTTATTCCTAATTAAGCTTTCGCTCATTTTATTAATTTTCAATTAATATATATAACCTAATTTTA